GACTTCATTCATTACAATTTAAAAGCAAACAAAAAGCCAAACCTTACAGAATTGTCATGTACTGAAGCCAACTTCTAAAACTAAATACCTGTAGAGGGCCTGTAGTAGGTTGAACATTTCAAAGACATAATTCTTGCTTATGTGATCAAAATGAGTCCTGATATAAAAATAGAAAATATTTCTAATCCAGTAGTTTCTTTTGAAACTTACAGATGTTTTGTCAGTGTTGATCTGAACCTCATCTGCTTGAAGGCACTGTATGTAGAAAGAAGAATTTCCATCTATGAACTGGAAACAATGACAATAAAAAAAAGATTTAAAACCAAAATGCCAAGGATATTTTTATAAAAAATGAATGCTTTTATTATCACTTTATTCATTTATTTATTATGTATTTTTCAATGTACTATCTCTTTACAATGTACTATGGGAAGATCTTTACATAGAAGCTACTTCTAAGGCAAATTTTATTATTAGAAATGAATACTCTTTCAGTTTAAATTGTTCAGTGCTTGATTTCAGTTTAAATTGTTCAGTGCTTGAAATGCTCTGCTCTTAATTCTTCAAAAACATTTTTTATGGAAACATGCAACATATACAAATTCAAGAGACTTATGTATTAAATATTCATGAACTCCTCATCTAGGATCAACAATTAGAAATTCATGGCCAATCCTGTCTCATCTCTGTCCCTACCCACTTCTCACCCCCTCCCCCACTGGTTATTTCAAAGTATATCATAGACTTTATATTTTATCCATAAATATTTTAATAAATATCTCTACAAGATAAAGACCCTCTTAGAAAGCATAAACTACAATACTATCGTAACTCCTAAAAAAAGGTAATTCTTTAATTTCACTTTCAGTAAATATTCAAATTTTCTTAATCATTTTATAATTTTTTTAGTGTTGGCTTATTCAAATTAGGAGCCATACCAATCTATAAGTTGCACTTGGTTGATGTGGCTCTTAAATTTCTTTTGACTCTATAGGTTATCTATTCTCTTACACTTAAAAAAATTCTTTTCTGAAACTTAGGTTTGCTGCTTTAATTCAGTTATTTTTGTTTGCTAAACTTAATGACAATCCTAGTCGTATAAATTCCTTCAAATACTATGATTTCAAAAAAACAGTGGCTGCACATGATAACTCATTCCTGTAATCTCAGCACTTTGGGAGGCTGAGGCAGGAAGATCACTTGAGGTTAGGAATTTGAGACCAGCCTGGTCAACATAGCGAAACCCCGTCTCTGCTAAAAATACAAAAATTATCTGGGCATGGTGGTGGGTGCCTGTAATCAATCCCAGATACTCAGGAGGCTGAGGCCGGAGAATCACTTGAACTCAGCAGGCAGAGGTTGCAGTGAGCTGAGGTTGAGGTCGTGCCACTGCAGTCTATCCTGGGCAACAGAGTGAGACAGAGTCTCGCTATAGATAGATAGACAGATAGATAGATAGATAGATAGATAGATAGATAATAAGCGCAGTCATAATCTTGGTAAGAAATTCAGAAATTCGCCCTTTTTTTTTTGAGAGAGAGAATGGTTAAAAAATTATACAGTATATATTTTGTCTGAGGCCAAAAGGTTTTTCATGTTCTGAAAGCTTGACATTTTTCCTATTGAAAATGTTTAAAATGGGCTGGATGAGGTGGCTCACGCCTGTAATCCTTTGGGAGGCCGAAGCGGTGGATCACCAGAAGTCAGGAGTTCGAGACCAGCCTGGCCAACATGAAGAAACCCTGTCTCTACTAAAAATAAGAAATTAGCTGGGCGTGGTGGCATGTACCTGTAACCCCAGCTACCTGAGAGGCTGAGACAGGAGAATCACTTGAGCCTGGGAGGAGCAGGTTGCGGTAAGCTGAGATCGTGCCACTGCACTGCAGTCTGGATGACAGAGCGAGACTGTGTCTCAAAAAGAAAAAAAAAAAATGTTTAAAATGATTTTATTTTGTCTCACTTTCTCTATTTCTTCCTTTCACTCTCTTTCTTTTCCCTACTTCTCCTTCTTTAATTAAGCACTAAATGTTTGGGACACTTTCAGCAGCTTTTTCTTTATAAGGGCAATGTTGAAAAAAGATACATATTTAGAAATTTTAGACCTTGGAGCAAACTTTTAACAGACAAGCTGCGTTTAAAAACATTCTGTGGCTCCCTAAAGAGAGCTGAAAATGTTACCCCAAATTACTATTAACCATGTCTCAGCCTTCATTAGAGCTTGATCGGCCACAATGTAAAACACTGATTTGGAGGACACAATTCTTCAACAGATCCCCTGCTCTCTACTCCTCCCCTGCTACATAAAATTAAATATTCATTCATATGTGTGTGTGCACATATGCATGTTCATATGCACACAGTGAAACCTGAAACACTAATTAAATGCCAACGTTAAAATAATGTTCACCTTATTTCCTCATCCCAATACATAGTTAAGATTGAATATCTCATATAATATTTATGATTCTGTATTCCTTATATTTGTTTATGTTGGCATAAATATGTATTTAACATATATAGATATATAATTATGGCTCACATGAAGGTCAGCAGATGGAAATATTGTTTATATGTAAATTTGTAGGGGGGGAAGGCTCTATCACAACTTGATTTTCGAGATGCCTAGCAGTTGACTACGTAGTGCTTGATTAAGGCTGTTTAGGGCAAGGAATGAATCAGTGATCTTACTTATCTCTGACCTTGCAATTTCTACTTGAATGCTCATTTAAGAAAATCCTATCAGTGGAAATAATTCATTTTAAAAATCTAGCTCATTATTTTCTACACGATGAGGAAAGTATTTATCAGTGTTTTCAGTTGTCTGTTTTGTTTGGCATAATAGGCCATGGTAGCAATTAACTTTGGTATATTTTTTAAACTGCCTAAAGTCCTTCTTCTCCAGAGCTTAGGCATTAATGCCCATTATTTGGAGCGGACTGGTCATCTGAGGCATTCATGTAAAATGATCCAGGTTAAACAGACTGACCCATAGATATAAACAACCTTCATTTAATAATGAAGGTATGTCCCATTAAAATATATAGCTTCTAGGAGTTTCAAGTGTAAAACCTAGAGCCTAAAATTGGTGATACTTTGGTGTGATATATATCACATTTAATTTTTTATTGTTTCCCTTTAAAGCATAACTGTCTTTTACTAATTTATAGATTTTTAAATGCAAAATAGAGTTGTTTGCTGAATACCTAGGTCTGTTTGTGCTTTATGAAGATGCAGTACAGATTTCGTTGAAGGAACTCATTTGGTAAAAAAGCACATTCATTAAAGCACTTAAATTTTTCAATAGTGCTGTTAACTCTTTGGGTACATTCTTTACATTTAAAGCTCTCCATTGATATAGCTCTTAGTTTTGATGCTATACCATTATATTCCTACTCTAAGTAAAGTCTATTTTGGCATTCATAGTGGACAGTAAGAAAGTCTTGGCCATAGAGCATTTTATAATATTAAAATGCTTTTTAAGAAATTCCTTGCCTCCTATTTTGTCTTTGTTTCCTTTGGAAAAGATTTCTCATCATCTGAATCTTGTAATTTCAGTTAATTCTTTACAGAATTGTGAAATTTCAGAATTGTAGGCCTTTCACTTTATATTTTAGTGTACATTTTACATTTTAATACTTTGTCCAAACTTTTCTGGATCCAGTGTTACTGTATTTTCACATTAGTATGGAATCCTAGTTCTATAAAAATTCATTTATTTCTTTAGTATCAGTAAGTGCTCAATTTATTTATTACTTAGTTCAAATAGCTTGGCTTATAAGTGGGACCCAGAGCTGTTAGGGACTTCCTCTGTGTTCAGTGTGACAGAAGAGCTCCGTGGTGGTTTTGAGAGGCAAGGGTGAAAAGTGAGCGTCCTGCTGTCTGTTTGGTCACACGTGGGCACCTGGGTTTGGTTTCCCAGGTGCCAGATAGATTTTGCATGACTGTGATGAGCATTTAAAACCCAGCCCTCTGAAATGCAGGTTTCTTTTGATGGCAGCTTTGAGAGCTCTAAAGGGTCTTAAGTTAAGGCTCTAGAGCATGTGCCACTTGCGTGCTCAAAAGCAGTAACTGAAAAAATTGTTTGCGTATCAATGAGAGAAAACACAGAGGTTCTTCCTTTATCCATCTGCCTCTTTTTGGTTTGAAGAAATATCACTCAAGACAGAGCAGCAAATCTGTGCTGCTATTTTACAAGCTCGTTACTCAGGTTGGAAAAGATTGCTGTAGGCTATATGCAAATCAGACAGCACCTAGATGCCCCTCAGCTTCCAGCTTGCTCTCTGCTGAGAGATGTTTCCAAGGTATTCTGTCAGTTTTATAAATCAGAGAATAGGATGCTGAAAAGCTCCTAGAACATTTAAGACTCCTGCCCTCAATGATTTAGCTGCTCAGGTCTAATAATCTCCCAGGTAAAAGCTTACTGTCATGGGAGCTGAGCTAAGAGGACAGCCTATTGTTGATTGAAAGCCCTCATCAGCCTTACCAACTTCAAAGGGTGGTTCTTCTTGAGAATCTATGCTCTAGAGCTGTGGTAATAATTCTAAATGTCTTGTTTTATTACTATGAATACAGTGATTCCTTAAGGGGGTGAAGAGACTTCTTTTAAAGCGGGCATATGTTAGGTCATCTGCAATGAAAATGTTTCAGAATTGCATGGAGAAATCTGTTCACGGAAGATTTTTCCATGCAATTCTTATATATTTTTCTTTGAAGATCTTAAAATTAAGTTCTTAAGTCTTTTGAGCACTATTGGAAGATAGGTGGTTGAGTTCTTCTACTCTGATTTTGTGGAAAGGAAAACTACTAAGAAACTTCGAAACAGCACACCTGGAGGCTCTGGTTCTCCAGCATCATATCATGGTATTCATTTCACAAATATTTTTTGAGTGTCTGTTACGTGTCAGACGTTATTCTAGGTGTTGAGACACAGCAAAGAACCAAATACATAATGTCTCTGCCCTCAAGATACTTACATTCTTGTATGTAGGGGAGATAGAAAATAAGTAACTCAATATGTAATAAAATGTTAGGTAGGACCTGACATTATGTTAATGGCAGCTTATTTTGACCCCGTTCTCTCCATCTTATCTAGAACTATGGTTTAGCAAACTTAGAGTTCTGAAAAGTAGCTGTTTAACTAGAACAAAATGACAGGTTTTGAATACGTTTTGAAGATTAAAACTAAAATGATACTTAAAAGGTTAAGGTTTAGTTATCTAAATTATCTGAAAAATTTACTTACATGGACTAGCTCACTTTTGGAATAGGATAAATGTAATATTGTTATAATTAGTTTATATTAAGTCACGGTTTTGCTTTTGTGAGGGAAACTGAAGCTTTTACATAATAGACATATTATGGATATAATAAAATCTGTTAACATTTATTGAATGTTAATAAATGTACCAGGCATTGTCCTGGGGCTTAACATTTACTAACTCATTCAACCTCATAATAGCCCCACGAAGTACGTAATATTAATATCCATATTTTACCAATAAAGAGGCTGAGGCTCAGAGAGGTAAATAGCTTGTCTAGAACCAAAAACTGGCTTCAGAAAATGTGTACTTAACCAGTATCCCATTTAGTGGCATTGTATTTCTGATCTGTCAATTGAGTCTAGAATCTAAACGAATAGTAATTATGCCTTATAGGCATAAACCAGAGATTGACATTTTCAAATTGGTAACTTAATGAAGATATATATTTTTAAATTGAGTGGGGAGCTTGTTTTGAGCTTAAATAACAAAATTGAAATTGCTATCATGGATGGCATTTTATAAGAACCTGTTTCATTAGATCCTATTTTTGTAAATTTGTACATATAAGCTTCCTATAAACTTATAAAGTTTAAAATTTTTTTAAATTATAAAGTGTAATACTTGTTAATTACAAAAAACTAAAATTTTAAAAAGTAGAAAGAAGACAAATTTCCCTCATGAATCAACCATTCTAGAGGCAAACATAGGTAATATTGGTGTTATTTTCCTTTAGTTATAGCTCTATACATGCTTCTACATAGTGGGGGTCAGATGTATGCAATGTTTTCATTCCTGGTTCTTACTTAACATTATATAATTTCCATATTCTATATTATTAATTTTAATACTACATAACAGTGAAGCTTTGGATTTTCAAATCAAATGAGAAACATTGGTTTTGTCTTGATTATCGTTAATGGAAGGTTTTAGGAGTGGTCAGTAAAATAGGAAGTGTTAAGTGCAGAAACTATACCCAGCCCATGCTGGGCAATCAGAGTGATTTACGTCAACATTTATGTGCAGATACAGTTGTTCTTTGAAAATAAATTTATTTTCATTGTTCATTGCAGGTGCAAGGCCAGATATTTTTTTAAAAAGCTTTTTTGGCATTAATGTTCATTTGGCGTGCCTTCTTACCTTTGCCTGTGGAAAAGAGTTAAGTGTTTGTTTTTAATGTGGAAGAAGGCTATAAAGACATTGTGTCATTTAGGAAACTTCAGTTAATTGATTTCATATTTTGTTTTTGTAATAGTCTTGTTCTTAACCTCTACATTTTGTTCATTTTCCTCTTTACAAAACATATACACAGCATCGCGCGGGTTAGTTACTGACTGCTTGCTAGTTTCACAATGAATGACAGTCCTGTGTTAAGATGCCTCTTTGCCCATGAATTAATAACTTTGACAGTTTGTCCATTTTTTAGCCTCTGTTTTTTGCTATGTGCAGTAGGATGGAGATTTTATAAAAGAGTCATTGGGGGAAATTCTGAAGGAAGGTTTTTTGCTATGTTTGAATTGCTTGAGAACAGCCCATTATTAGAGGTAGGGAATTTGTCAAACAAATCATGAAATCTCCCATGTTTGCTGGAGCAATGGGTTGTAATCCTTTTTGATTGTTTGTTTCTATGGGACCTCAGGTCCTGCTGGGCATGGAAAAGAGATAAGCATCTCTCTGTCTCCCTTTCGCATTGTGCAGTTCTCAGGCGACCCAGCTTCTTTTCATAGTCTGTAGCATAGCAGGTATGAGATGGGCCTAGCTGGAACCTATTTGACTACTCTGAACCTTTGGTTAATAGTGTCATTGGCTCCATTCTGATTGTCTCTCTTCTGAGTGCATTTCTGGAGTCATTCGGCTCATACTGAGGTCTATTTTCAGATATAGGGATCATTCTCTTCCTATGTGAGTATGTCGGCAGTCCCAAGATAGAGAGAAATATTAGTTTTCAGTAAATATATACCTGGATTTTTATAATAGATATAATTGGCTAGCATTTGTATAACTCAAATTATCTATTAAAATGTATTCATGTAACCAAAAGTATCAATTTATATGAAAGAAATATGAAACTAATGTTGCATAATTAAATAAATATACAATAAGTATACAAGTCAGATATCTATGTAACATATTACATTCTAATTTGCTGTGTTCCTTTTTTACATGTAACCCCCACTAGACATTAAAATGTATTCATTTGCACTTTAAAGTAATGCAATTAAGATCATCAATCGCTTTTCCATCTTACTTATTAAGGAGTAATTTCCTGTTGTGACTGATGACAAGATTATGAATTTATCTGAGTCTCTTGATAGATACTAATTTAACCAGGTAAATTAAAAGGAATAGGCCCAACCCTGCTGTAAATCAGGGGATTAAAACATTTGGGTGGCGTATTCTACCAGGAGACTGAGTTATCACTTCGTACTCAGTAAGGGCTGCTGGCCACGTTGTCTTGGAGTTCCCTAAAATAACCAATTTATCATCCAAACAAGCACCTATCAGTAGGATGTTTTTTTTTCATCCCCTATTGGAATGCCTTAAGACATAGTCTTACTAGATTGTCATGTCTATTTAGTCCTAAAAACAAACAAAAAAAGAGTGGTATGGGTATTGTTGCTAATGATAATGCTAGGAAACAGAGGTTACTGTGTGTCAGGCACTGTTCTGAGTGTGTTACACACATTAAATCATTTAATGTTCACAAACCTTGTGCGGCATATGTATCATTCTCTTCACTTTACAGCTGAGGAAACTGAGGCACAGAGGGGCTAAGTGACATACCCCAGGGTACACAGCAAGTAAGTGATGGAGCCAGGATCTAAATGTTCAAACCCAGGCATTCTGCTTCTTGAGATAGTGACTTAGCCACCACACCCCTCTGCCTCTCTAGAGCATGATTAAGACATTGTTTTAATAGTGGGTTATCATTAAGAACATGAATAAAAGTCCCTGTAAGGCCTAACCTAATATAACTGGATTAACTCATTAAAATGCTAAATATTTCTCTTTCTCTTTTCCTTTATTTATTTTTTCTTCAGGGGGTAGATTGGGAGGAAGGCAGAGAGGAAGAGAACTTCAAAGACATTACAAATGCATTCTACTTAATCTGAAATATTTTGATGCTTCTGGAAAAGTGAGATGGTTTAATTTCATATATAATTGCATGAGGAATTATAAATTATGTTTTCTGAAATACCTATGACACTAAACCACAAAATGAACAGATAAAACTGATTTGTTCTCTGACAAATCAAGATATATGGCAGCGTTTTCATTACAAGTGCCATTTGTGTGGAGGGAGCAGCTGAGTATGCTACAAGATGACAGGAACCGTTCCCGGGGGCACTGCCTTCACATGGACATCCCGAGGTAATTTATAACCCATGCTGAAATTTTTAAAAAACATGCTGTCAAGCAAAGCCCAGGTTGAACTTCTAAAGTCATGGAATGCAGATATATCTTTCTAATTGACCATCTTTAGCATGAACTTACTCCTTAGAAATAAGTTGTTTTATTCTGTGGGAAGAATGGACTATTTTCAGGGCACTGGGGGTATCATTTAGAAAATTATCTCTCTTAGTACATTGAATAGTTTCCTGGAAGATATGTGTTGACTTCTGCTGGAAGATAATGTATTCATAGTAAGACTGACTAAGGATTCTTTTTACTTCCCACTGGCCTAAAAACACTATGTTCTAGGCCTCTGTGGTGGTGGAAGGTGAAGACTCAAAATATGGATGTTGTGAGTTGAAGCACTTCTCAAAGGACCTGTGTCCCTAAGCTGCAACAGTCATTTGTTTGTCTTGAATTTTATAAGGGCTTTGAAATGTGTGGAACCAAAATAGTTCTGTTTGTAGTACTGGTGATCCTGGGAAAACGAGAGCATGGTCATCTGCGTGGGAGAGAGTTGATGTGTGTGATTACCAGTGGCACTGTATTATGTTGGTTTTGCTCTGCAGTGATGGGGTTCTCATTGAGCTGCCCAGAATCATTCACCCGATTCCTTTAGGAATCAATGACATCTGATTAGTAAAGAGTGGGCAGGAACAGGAGTGGAGACCAAATCTTTGGGTCAAAGAGGGAAAAAAGGAACTCCATACAGCAGACCATAGTCTGTTTTGCCTCTGATTCCAGCCTGATGAATTCTGACACACAGGGGACATAATTCCGTATAACTAAGACTTGTATTAGATGCTTTATGTAATGCTTTCTTTTTGGGTACGTTGTCTATTATGTGTAACAAAACGTTGACTAGAAGTGGTTATTTAATACGAGTTAGAATTTATTAGACCAAATCAACAAATTGAATCGTACAAAAATGTGTGGATGTAAAAAAAATTGTGGATATAGAAAATGTTTGGATGTAGAAAAACATTTCATATTTTACATTAGTTTTTAAAATAATTTAAATATAATGAAACAAATGGCGGAGAACAAATTGACTAGTTTTTTTCTCCTAAGAAGTGGTTAGAAGTTGTTCCTGGTAAGCAATTGATCACAGTGGCTTTGCTCACTTAACAGTTAGATTATTTGACAGCTAACACAGTATAATCGACTTGGCCCTCTAGTTCTGTGTCTTTTACAGTTTGGTTCTGATTGGGGGTGTTGTAGTATAGTGCAGTGGTTAGGCATTGCGGACTCTGCTGAGCTTTTCATCTTCGTGCTCCCACTTCCCAGCTCTGTGATTCTCTGCCTCAGTTTCCTCTTCTATAAAATCAGAGTAGTAATTATAACTCCCCCCTTGCAGAGTTGTTAGGAAGATCAAGTGAAACAATCCAAATAAAGTGCTTTACATTGCCCTTGACACAGGGTAAGGGCTGAATCATGTTAGTTGCTATTATGATTCCTGTTGTTAATATTGGTACTTTACAATGCAGAAGCCAGATATAGTGTGTTAATTTCTTTTGTTTTCTGTAGCTTCAATTCATATATAGGCCCTCATTCTGAGATACTAGATATGAACTACCAACATTAAATTTTCTTAAGGTATTGGAAGACTAGATCTTCTGGTTTTCTGTGTTTTAAATTGACAATATCCTATTCTGTGACTGCGTCAACTTAGAAGAATGATTTGTTTTGTTTTGCTTTGTTTTTTTTTGTGGATAAGGTGTTCTGAACTACGTTGCCTCTTTCGCCTTGTCTTCACAGTGCTTAATATATTTACACAGGCTGACAATATAATAAAACTTCCCTTCCACCCCTATCATCTGGTTAAAATTGTGTATTTTTAAAAATGAAATATCCTTAACTAATGACAAATGAAACTTTAAATATTTACTGATGGCTTTGTAATTAGTGAGTTAATTTTTTAGTCACGGGACAAATGTTTTGTCTGTTCCTTCTCTTTTCTTTTTAAAGTTCTAATACTGGCCGGGCGCGGTGGCTCAAGCCTATAATCCCGGCACTTTGGGAGGCCGAGGCGGGTGGATCACGAGGTCAAGAGATCGAGACCATCCTGGTCAACATGGTGAAACCCCGTCTCTACTAAAAATACAAAAAAAAAATTAGCTGGGCATGGTGGTGCGTGCCTGTAATCCCAGCTACTCAGGAGGCTGAGGCAGGAGAATTGCCTGAACCCACGAGGCGGAGGTTGCGGTGAGCCGAGATCGCGCCATTGCACTCCAGCCTGGGTAACATGAGTGAAACTCCGTCTCAAAAAAAAAAAAATAAAATAAAATAAAATAAATAAATAAAGTTTAAAAAAAAAAAAGTTCTAATACTGAGTTACTTCAGTACAAATGCAGCTTGACTACAGTGAAGCCATTTAATTTAACACAACTCTTCCCAGGGTCGTGTAGAGAAAACAGGTGATTTTCCCTTCCATTCCTCCTCTGAAATAGTTGCTCTTATCTTTTCTTCTCAAGTGGTTCCACTTGTGGAACTGCCTCAAAACAAATCTGGGGCTATGTGGAGCAGAAGGGATGTAAATGATTTCCTCTGGGGACTTGTTGTCAGTAGGTATTTGTATCCTGGAAAATTTGAATGTAATGAGAACTGAACTTGTCACCTTTGAATCATGGCTCCTTTTCATTCTCTCTCCTAGAGCATTTCACAGGAGATAGCTTCATGCTGAATTATATTATTTTGGTGCATTTTTACCTAGCCTAAATGATCATGGCTTAAAAAAAGTAAATGGTGATATTTGTATGACTTAAGTGCCCAGCACACCTAAAGGCAGTAGGTCATGTTATGTTATAGTCGTGTTACAGCATAATGAAATTAGCCTGTAAGGCAGTGATAAATGAAATGGAGGTGAATTCAAAAGGAGTAGTTTAATTTTTCTGTTTTATTGACTTTTTCTTCACCTCTCCAGTCTTCTACTTTACTGTTTCTCTCCCTTTTCTTAGTATTTAAACCCCTCCTGTCTTCCCTGATTTTTGAGTGAATTCTATTCTTAAAAAAAAATTAAACATGAATTACCTGTGGTAAAATGTAGCATTTGAAGAAGACCTCTCTCCTGCCAACTTGGAGATGTGTGGTCCCACTGTGTTTTTGGTGTGTGTTTATTTAAATATTAAATTACCAACTGAAAGCTAATAATACTGTAAGAAAAGTATAATTATGAAGGTAAATCTGTATCAAAAATTGTGTGGTGTACCTCAAGGTCAAATATGATTATTAGTGGATAGTCTATTTGATAATTACCCATTCATAGATTTGTACATAAAGTAGTGTTTTCAAAATTGTGTATTTTTAAAATTCATTCAGTTTCCCACAAAGTATAATCCACTAGATCATAAACAAAATAACCTACTTCGGTATAATAGAACCACACCTGTATGGAAATAACTGAAATGCACCAAAATAGAAATATAATAGTCTTTGTGCCAAATATTGTAATGTAATGTCTGCCGAGTCCTGAGTCCGTGGTTTTATTTTCCCTTAGTACTCACTCCTGCTGAGCTCTATGCATTTGACAGCCACCTCTCTACCCTGTGGCCTTTGGCAGTGGCAGTGAGGGCAATGATGATGCTACAAGTTGGCACACAGGCTTGGTGGGGCTGAGGACATCCTTATAGAGAAAGACAGCTGACATGGAGTGTTACTGGCCTTGGAGGATATCTGCAGAAGTGTTGGAGAGCAGGCAGGGTGGAGCATCATGCTAGGAAAGAGAAGGGCTTGGGCCAGGAGGATCACAGTGAAGGCCACCCATATCTAGCTTCTAATCATAGAGATTTGTGTGGCCACAGTAGGCCCTTGTGCGAAGGCGTTAGAGAGGTGAAGGGCCACGGGTCACTCATCAGGCACAATCTCACTGGATAAATGAGGGATTTAATCATTTAATCACTTCTGATGAATGAAGTATTCATTTTCCCATCAAATTAAATAACTCATCTCCAGTATTCCAATGCAGTTTGGATATCCATATATATTTTCTTAATGTAAACTCAGTTATGTTTTAACCAGCATGCATTATTGGTATAAAATTCTTCTTATAGCAATACAATTTTAAACATGTTATACATAGCAGCTAATAAGTTAAAATGATACTATATAGTGATTTAAATGATTCATATGGCTAATGATTAGCAACTTTTCTTGGAGATTTATACAAATTTATGACTTGGTCTCCATTTCAATTTATTGTGTACAACAGTTAGTTTGTTTTAGTCATTTTGAACAGTTATTTCTTTGAGCCCATGGCCACTGGTCAGATAACAAGCTTACAACTATTCTCTTCCTGAAGATAACAGATTCCTTTGGGACTTGTAGTCACACATGTAAAGTATGTGTTACGAGCCTGTACTGTGAAGGACAGTGTGTTTCTTGCTTCGCATCCTGTTTTTTAATACACACGTTATTATTGTGCTCATTCTTATGTTAGCTGTTTTGTTTTTTAGGTTGTATTTAAATTGCATAGTCTCCATTGCACTCATTCCGTAAATTTTTATTTTCCCCAACATTTTGCGACCTGAACTTCTTGCTTCCTCAGTGCTGCACGTGAGGTGGCCTTTGCTTTATGGGAAAACTCTGCCGTTTTGCCTTGTCCTGGCTCGCTGTCACAGCCTGCTGCCCATTCATCCCCTCTTGCATACCTGCCAGGGATCATTCCTGGAGGGACAGGTGTAGCTGTCAGATCCCAGTGAGACCTTTCTCCCAGTTATTGTTTTGTTTGTGATCCTTGGGGAGAGTAGTGACCGGCTACAGCCTTTTCTCAAGGAGAAGCCACATGGTGCTTCAAAAGGAAAGGCTTTTGCATACTGGGGCCCGTGACAAGCAGGAGAGGCTGGCACCGGAGTCTTGAGTGAACGCTTTGACACACCGAGTCACAGCCCATTATCACTTGTTCTGGTGTCAAAACAATACAGCAGTTTGAACTGCAGCTCAGCTCACTCCTGCTGTCACACAAGCTCCCTCCTAAGTCATTAGAGTGCTGGCATGGACTCTTTCTGGATCAGTCAGAGATGCATTAGGAGAGGGGGAAGTATTTATTAATTCAATTTAATAAGTGACTATTAATCATCTGCTGTGTATTGGGCATTGCCCTGGGGCAGAGTGGATGGGAAAAGAGGAGCATTCCCATACCAGTATGGCAAGATCCCCGACCCAAATGTACCCTTGCCCAGGACAACACGCAAGTACGGTGGCTATCGTGAAAACAAAATTGCTTTGAAAATTCAAAAGAGGGAGAAATCTCATCAGATTGAAAAGATCAGTTTAGACGGATGAGGGAGGTGATGTGTGAGAGGGGCCTTGACAAGACTGAAAGATTTTGATGGGCAGAGAGAAGGTGAGACAGACAGTTGGCAGCGAGTTCTGCTTGCCTGGTATGCACGGTATGTTTAAGAGGTATCAGGACTCAAGAATCTATTGTAAAGTACCTTGGTTGCTAAGCTAAGAAGTTAATGTTTTATTTAGTGGTCTCCTGCTTGAGACCACCACTGAAAGGGTTTGAGTCAGTGGAGTGAAATGTTAGGAATATGTCCGTCCTTATTAAAATGTTAGCTTAGGTATTAATCTGTTAAGACTGCAAGTGATTATATGTAGCAATAACTCTACAACAGTGGCTTAACCAAACAGGGATTTTATTTGTCTCGTATAGGTGACCAGTGCAGCATCTTCACAATGCCACCAGGGGCCTGGGCTCAGGCTCTGGTCTTCCTGACATCTCTTCTTATGAGTGAAAAGTGGCTGCTGGATCTCCAGATATCCGGTTCATATTCCAGGCAGGAAGAGGGTAGGGAAAGAAGAGCAGAAGGCCAAATGCCTCTCAGGAAGCTCTGCCTTTATTATTCTGGAACGGACAGCCTTCCTTAAGACTTGGTCTTTATGTGAGTCTCAAGACTAGAGAGCCTGGGAAATCAAGTTTTTCATTTGACACAATGCTGCTCATAAAAAAAAAAAATGGGATTCTCTAGTAGGAAAAGTAAGTATTGGGTAGGTAAGGAGCACTGTTGGCCACAGCTTATTTGTGAATCTATCGTGGGAAATCAGAGAAGGCAGGGAGCAGAGGGGCAGAAAGCTAACAGTGCCAGCAAGGAGTCCTGATTAGATTCAGAGAAAATAATCTCAGAGAGCAGCTTCCATTTTAGGTTTGTTGAATGAAAGAATATGGGACAATGAGTTAGGAAAAAGGCTTTAGCTCTGGCATCATTATTAAAACATGTATGTGTTGAGAAAAGCTACTTCTCTGAACCTCAGTTTTCTTATCTATAAAATTGGGGACTTCAAAGCCTATCAGCCAAAAGCTGTGATGCTAAGAAAAGATTACATATGTTCTTTGGAGTACTATTTTCAGATTAAACACTGAGTAAGTTACAAAAATAAACATATAGATTAAGACAAGATATACATTTTATTAAAAAAATATTTTCTCCTAATTTGAGGAACCAAAGAACTAGTAAACATATTTCATGTATTAACTTAAAATGTATTATCTAAAAAAAACATTCTGTACTATTCCTTGGCACTAGTGTTTTCTGTTACCAACTATACAGTACTTGCATTTATTTATTGTAAGGGAAGTAAGAGATAGCAGATTCATCCTTAAGCCCCTGCTCTAACAGGATTATTTATAATGTGACAACTTATTACACTCCTTTCTTGGTAAATAGCTCAGCTTCATTCTCCATGTATATTACAGTTTCATCTGGGGAAGTTTGTCCCCTACAAAGTGAAGATATACAGTTTTTATTTCTTATCTGTGACTTGTTCCCATTAGGAAGGTGTTGTTTTTTTACTCTATCCCTGATTTCCTCCTCAAATCATTGTGATAAAAGACTGGCTCATATGTATCCACATTGTTTTAATATGGAGGGAGATACAAAGAAATAGAAAATATGACCACTACCTTTGGGGGACTTATTACCTAGTTGGGGAGAGAAGAAAAAGACACGTAGAACAAATAAAGAACAGCACAGAAGATGAAGTAATGCCATTCTGAAGCAGACGCTTTAGTCTTTGTGTGCTGTGCTTTCAGTAAGGCTGTGTGGTGAGGGGTTCCCTTCCCTGCCCAGGGGCAGCCTCTCTCCTTGCTCCTTCTGTTGCTGACTTCCACTTTTTTTGGGGATTATGCTTCATTGTTTGTCCCCAGAATTCTAGTATCTTCTATTTCTCAGTTTTCATTGGCTTCTTCTGTTTGTAATATAGAAGTGCTCAGTCAAGACTACGCCAGACAAAACCAGAAATTCTTATTATTTGCTTCCTGACTTAGGCTACCACCATATTTTATATCCTCCTTGTTAAATGTTTTTCAAGTATGCATCACTCTGTCCTTATGGTCCTTATCGTCTAGCTGTCATTTGCCTCAGATAGCTTCACACTTCCCGGACAACAGTGCTTTTCTTTTCTGTTTTTTTTTTTTTTTTTTTTTTTTTTTTTTAAGAGATGGAGTTTCACTCTTGTTGCCCAGGCTGGAGTGCAATGGCACGATCTCAGCTCACCGCAACCTCTGCTTCCTGAGTTCAAGCAATTCTTCTGCCTCAGTCTCCCTGGTAGCTGGGACTACAGGCGTGTGCTACCACGCCCGGCTAATTTTTATATTTTTAGTAGAGACGGTGTTTCAGTGTGTTAGCCAGGATGGTTTCCATGTCCTGACTTGGTGATCCACCTGCCTCAGCCCCCCAAACTGCTGGGATTACAGGCATGAGCCACTGTTCCCAGTCAACAGTGCTTTTCTATTCATTAGATTTAGGGCCTGGCAGCCAGGCCCCGGTCTTCCTTTTCATCCCCTTCAGCCATGTGACTTGTTGCATTCCTCACCCTCCTTCAGAGCTAAATTATTTGCCGTAGTTCATCAAATGCACCATATTTTTTCTTGAATCTCTGTCCTTAGGCATTTTTTGAAATACTTCCCCCTCTTCAATTCACCTGAGAAATTTAAGATTAAATTGAGGTTATCAGCCTAGGAGGATCATCCCCCCATCCCACTGTTCACCAAATAGCATTAGTTACTTTCTTCTTTAAGCTTTTGTAACACTTATCTTTGTAACAGTTGTTAACACAATGGGTTATTGTTTATCTGCTGACTTATCTCTTTTTTCCCTGTTCTGTGAGTTATTGTAGTCTAGGGACTAGTCCTGTCCATACCTACCACTTGCCATACGGTCCAGACTGCACTGTAACCATTATAGTGGTGAAAGCACTAGCTTTGGAATCCCAGGGCAGGGATTCATACATTGACTGTGTCACTTGCTTGTTTTGTGACATTGGGTATGTATGTTGACCTCTATGAACTTCAGTTTATCTGTAAATAAAAATAATACCTACCCTCATAATGTTGTGAGGTGAAAATGACATCCAAACAATGTCCATAGCATAGTGCCTAGAGCATGGTAGGTAATCATATTAAAATAATATTTGTTGAAAAAAATTAATAAATAGAGCAATATTCATTTGGTGGTAACACCCTCCCTCCTTTTTCACTTCTTGTTTGAAGGTAGATATAGGCAAGGAAAGTTAAGGGGGATTGCCGTGCATAGATATACTTGGTGAATTTCTGCATGATACATTTTACTTGTAAGGATGGAGTTAAGTTTTAAGTAATAGGGAGGACAAAGATGAGAGGTGACTTTTTTTCCCTAGACATAGTGAGTTGGAAAGAAGCCCTGTCACAGGTGGCAAAGGAAGCTTTGTTATAGAATGAAATGGGAATGCATGTGGCAGAGGAGAGTAAATGATTCAGTATGTTTGAATTTGATACATAGCAGTATTGCCCAAATGAGATCTTTATCATAAGAAAGACTACCCAAGATTAATAAATGCTATGTATTAGCAATTACTACTTGGGCTTCTCTAATTAGCAAAAAAATAAAAATAAAAAAGCCAGGTGTTTGTGATCACTAACGGAGTTTTAGAAGTAAGAGGCAAAAAGGAATTTTATGGCTTTTAAAAAAAACTTTATTTTTATATTTACAAAGGTGAATGTAAATGTTTTACCAGACCATAAGTGTATGTTTTGATCTACTTTTACACTTATTAACTGCTTAGTTATAGTAGGAAAATTCATCATAGGTTTTAACACTTGCTTTTATGATACCCTTATGATGTCATTCCTGTGTAGTACATTGCATAAAAAACAGAGTGACCACCCTGAGCAGACTGTTAAAATAATGGAGCATTCATTCTTCTTGGACTGCAGTCTAAATGTTCCATAAAGTTATAGTAGCATGCACTGGGAGGGCAATGCTTCAGAGTTGTGGTCTCACCTCAAGATTGGAGATTGGTAAAGACATTAATTACCAGCATTCTTTGTTTGATTCTTTGTGAAGAAGCAAGGTTTGCAGATGATACTGGAAAATATGGAGTTCTGATAAACAAGGCATAAATATAGTCCTGTTCTAATTGTGAAGTTATCTGTACTGAGGAATAGTTGATCAGTAATATCAGTTTAACCCAAATACCAATTGAGACAAGAATACTCTCCTGAAGGAACAATGACTCATTTTACAATGTGGCCACAGAATTTAGCACGGTTGATCCCAGCTGCCTCAAATATCATTAAACTAATCTCAGAGTCTAGGATTAGATGTGGCTGACCCAAGTGTCCTTTCAGGTCAGAGTTCAAGGAGTTCTGCTTAACTTTCTGGGAGGAGGAGCAGGGAGAAGAATCTGTGCCCCATATTCCTTTAAACAAAGGTTTTATTCTGTAGTGCTTTTAAGATCCCTCAAATAGCCTGAACTGCTGAACTAACACACACAGAAAAAGGCAGTTTGTGATCTCTAGAATAGTCTGTTTGCACAGGTTATTAATGACTCTGGCCTGTGATGTATACAAACCAAAAGAAAAAAAAAAGTCAGTAAGGTGGGGGACAGTGGTGGCGTGATGGGGAGCCGTGTTGAACTTCCTCCCTTCCTCATTCTTTGTTGATTTATAATTAAATCCAGACTTAGCAGGAGTATTATTACATTGTGAAGATGAGCTAGAAACTCTTTTCAAGTTAACTTTCTTAACACTACCCCCTGCAGTAGAAAGGGCATTTGCACTGTGACCAGTCTTTAAAAACAAAACAATGCTAAATAGTGCTTACATATTCCAGGCAAAGATTCTTCCTTCAGAAATACTTGGCATTTGTTGTAAGTGGAGTTATGACACCATGGTATAGAAAAAAATCTTGTCTTGATTTTTTTAAGTAAGGCATTGAAAATATAAAGTAGGCAGCATCCTTTAGCCGTGATAAAATGTTAATTCACCATCTTGTCCATGGAAAAAGCTATTCTTTCAGTGAAGTGCTATTAACTATGCAATATCTTACAGCCAAGTATTGCTCTAGAAAATGTTGGAGGTTTGCACATGATCTAAGTTCAGCTTTCTAATTATTATTTTCTTTAATTTCTGTTTTACATCATCATGCCCTCTTCTCTACTGAAAAGAGAAAAACTAGATGGCTATTGGGATTATTGTTGAGCCATAAAACTTAAGTTATCTTTTCCCAGTCTCTCACTGGGTTCAGCACTGTCCTCTATGACTTCCCTGGTGGAGCTTTATCCAGCATTTGCTTGGCTACTTCCAGAGATGAGGAGCTCACTTTTCTGTGAGGCTGTAGACATCACCATTTGCTCTTGTTCTACTATTTCTACGGATTGTAAAGGAAATCATCTTGAAAATATAATGATATACTTCTTTTTCTACAACTTGTTATTTGGAAACTAAGATCATGCCCTCCTTAAGACTCTTTTTTTTTTTTTTTTTTTCGGATAGGCTAGACAACCACAGGGGTCTCTTTGTACATGTGGTCTCTTTTCTCTCCTGTCATGTTGTATTAGGTTGGTGCAAGAGTAATTGCAGTTTTTGCTATTACTTTCAACAGCAAAAACTGCAATTACTTTTGCACCAAGCCAATATACCACCTTTGTATCACCCTTGTATCTGGTTGCTCGTGATTCCTCTGAAA